GAGTGAGTATTTTTGCTTCGTTTATGAGAGAGTTCTAATAATAGCCCAAATCGGCAACGTTATTTTTAATCAGTATAACTATAAGAACTCGTATTATTAGAGGGTCTATTTATAACTTATTTCTCAAGCTCCATAAAATAAAGGACAAATGGCCAAAATACTCATGAAATCATTAGTCAAGAGCATCCAATAATTTAAAATAAAAAAATGATAAAAACACCTATAATGTTATCCTAATTTAGTGCAAAAGTAATTAATCTATTACATCTTTTAAATGTTGATCACTTAACTAACATCTAAGCAGTTATTGACCATTTTTCACTGATGTAGACTAAAAAAAAAGAAAAAATATCAACGAAATCATTGACCAGAAACATTCAGGAATCTAAAATAAGAAAAAAAGGCAGGAATACCTATAATATTACTTTTGTGAATATGATAATGACTAATCCATTAAAATTCATGCTATGTGATTTCTTTTCATCATGCGATACCTTTTATCAATTTGGATCATTAAGAAGAAGTTTTAATGGTACAAGAATTTTAAAGAATCAAGCCATTTAACTTATTATTCGGTCAAAGTGATAATTTTTTACATGTTATTGATATTACGTACATTTGAAAAAGAGGAAGTAGCAAAAAAAATAAAGGGTCTTTGAATGGTAGTTTGAAAAGAGGAGGGAGTAGTAGAAGTGGTAGTGGGCATATAGAAGTGGAACTAAGAAGAAGATGGAAGAAGCAGGGGTGGATCGCCCTCTTGTGTCACCTCCGTTATCAAAACCAAAGCATCAAGTGAAAACTCATTATTATATGATGACCGATCAACTTTTGCAAAATTTCACTTGAGAATATTTTTTAATCTACGTCAGTAAAAAATAATTAATTTTTTCAGGTGTTAGCTAAATAATTAACATTTAAGAGATTTGATAAATTAATCATTGTTGCACCTACTAGAGTAATGTTATATGTATTCCTGCCATTTTTTCATTTTAGGCTAGGCCATTAAATGTTTTTGGTTGATATCTTCACGAGTATTTTTGCTTTTTATTTTAGTTCATGTTAGCAAAAAATAATTAACGTTTACTTAGGTATCAATTAAACGATTAATAATTAAGGAATCTAACAAATTAATCACTTTTGTGTTAATTTATGTAACGTTATGAGTATTTTTATCATTATTTTAAAATAAATAATTTTCATGTCTGAATTATTTAATTAGTAATTATTGAACGCGTTCGGTTTAGCAAACCAATCATGCATGGAAGATGAATGGCAACTTGGTTGAAAAAAATATATATATATATTGGAGGTGCAGGAAGCTAACACACACACACAGCACGCATGTATGCTCATTTAACTAAGCGTTAATGTGAAATTGCATCACCGCTTGCGTCATACTACGAAATTGCCTGCTTTCTTTAATCTTGATATCATTATGAGGCAGTGCACCAGTTCAACTTCTCCTCGCATGTTCATGGCTGTGTCAGTTTTTAGGAAACAAGTTTTAAATGAAATGGTTTGGAACCTTTTGCCTCTGCTTAATTCTCACAGCCTGACTTCATATTACGCAATCAGTGAACGTTTGAAATTTAGTTATTCTTTTATTACATATTTTTTTTTAAACGAGAACAGAACCGACTTTATTAATAACCAAAAAAAAAGATTTTACACACACTAATAGCCAAAATCAAGAGAAAAACCCTGGAAAAAAAAAACTACTCATACAAGCTAGCAGTTTTCATAAATAGTAACAGAATCAACATTTTTGACGGTAGTGTTGTTATCAACTCTTCTTTCACTTTTCACTTTGGTTGTTTTGGGCTTTGACTTTTCTGTTGCGTTGTTACTCATCTAGTCTTGTTTCCTTTTCTTTTCTTTTCCTTGTTGTTTTGTTGCAACTCGTTTTATTCAAACTTTTGTTTTTTGATAATAAAGAGGGCTAAGCCCAATTACACAATGAAACTGGACAGAGTTAGGGGATTGAGATCCCATAATCTCCCTACGCACACGGCACCTTTAAAAGAAAAAAAATAAAAAAAACCGGGGGGCGGGGGGGAGGAACAGAATCAAAATACTTCAGATCCGTTCTGTTCCTCTTTTTGGCGACGTATCCTCAACATGATTCTGATCACGAGGGTTTCTGTGTCCAAGTTTACACAAGCAAATGGACACAGCCCCCGGACGCCTATTTTAACCTCAGCCACTTCTCTCGGGTTCCTTAAATATTTGTATACACAAAAACATAAAAAAAATCATGTATAAGCTTTGTAAAATATATTTATTTATAAATAAGTTTCATAAAATTTTAAAATTACAGCTAGGTCTCTTGAAAATTAAATGTAATTTGAAGTTAGAGTATAAAGACAATAATGCCCCTATAAAGATATATTGCATCAAATAAATAATTTATAACTATTTTATCAATAATTTACAACCATCACTTTAACTTTTTACATCAAATATTCAAACCTTTTTAACTATTGAATATGTAAAGTTATAATTATAAAAAATTAAAATAATAATTATAAATTAGTGATAAAGTGTTTGTAAATAATTAATATTAAACTTTATTAGTAATACATTATCAATTTCATAATTAGATGTGTGAAATTAATGTTACAAAAAGTTGAAGTGATAATTATAAATTATTAATAAAATAATTATAAATTATTTGATTGATGTAATACATTTTTAACAGGGGTATTATTGTCTTTTGACTCTAATGTTAAATTACACTTAGGTCTTAGGGACTTATCTGTTATTTTTAATTTTATAAGATTTATTTGTAAGTAAATATATTTTACAGGGCCTAATGTAATTTTCCCCAAAACCAGTGTTCGAATTTGCATCATTAAGGGCCTCAACTGAGCAACTTTGATCGATTTAATAACAACGAACCCATTTCACACAAAACATGTTTCAAGCCCATTCTTGCCTCTGCAAATTAGGCCCGATACGTGAAATTTGGATTGACACTCCACTGCAAAATTTTATAAATAAAAGAAGTGCACGCCCCACAGCAGGCTTTTAGAAGATTATTTATGTATTTTAAGGAATTTTTAATCAAAAACATAATTACAAAAATATAAACAACAAAGTATTATTTTTAAGAACAGAGATGGCCTGTTGAGTAATTTGTTTTGAGAATAATTTTTTATTTTTCAGAATAAAAAAATAAAAAAATTTATTTGATAATGTATTTTTAAAAAATATATTGGAGAATAAAAAAATAAAAAATTATTTTAAAGAACAAAAAAATGTAAACATCTTTTAGGTATTATGAAATTATTGTTTTGAAGAACAGGGAGAATAAAAAAATACTTATTTTTTATTTTTTATTTTCAGAACATGTTCTATAAAATACTAGTTTTTAAAATAATAAAATAAAAATATTTTTAAACAAGCCCTATTTTTTCTTAAATTTTGATTAATTTTTTGTTTGATATTTATATCTGAATTTATTTTATAACTATAATTAAAATTTAAAGTTGTCTCTCTTCCCGTGAAGACACCCAGTTTCGTGGAGAAGGAAGGATCCCTCGTGAACTGTGACGCGGAAGCGTGCGCAATCTCGGTTCCATTCCCCAGCACTAAAAATCAACCAATCATCAATTTTGGCATGAAAATAAAATGAAAATAAAGCAATCAAGATAAAACCATTACTTTCACGTGCTGACGTAGACTAGAACGAAAGAAAAATCTCACGGTATAAGTAGGTGTTCACGAGACGGAATGGGATCGAAACACCCTATCCCGTGTCTTGTCCCAAAAAAACGATCGAGACTGAATTTTAGTCCCGTGTTTCGTTTCGTCCCGAAAATCATCTTGTCCTGTTAAGAGTCAGGACGGGACCGGGACAAGATCGGGATGTCCCGCCGTCCCGATAAATGGAACAATATCAAAAAAAGATCTGAATAATAACGTTCATTAAAATTTTAAATTATATAATTTATTAAGTTTAAAATCAAAACAACACAAGCACATAAATAACAATAATTTAAAATCAATTATTGAATTATATTAATCACAACTACATATTATAATAACAAATATAAGTAATTTTATGCTATAAGATTAGCAATAACAGGCAAGTTAAACACAACATTAAATCATTGTTCTTTTACTTTACTGAAGATGTACTAAGTTAATTACTCTTCTAAAAATAAGCAAGAGATATGTTATAAATAAAAGTTATTAAATAGATAGATATAATAATAAATTATATTAATATAATTAATATATTATAAAAAAAATATTGCCATGTTTACTCCATGCCATTAAAATTATCAATATAAAAAAACTATAGTTTTAAATAAAAATTACAAGTATTAAAATTATAATTGGTATAATTAATATAAGTTTAAATTATATTAATATAATTAATATATTTAAAATAATATATATAATATTCGGGACGGGACGGGACGTCCCGATGGTAATTCTGTATTCTGTCCTGTCCCGAACTCCTTTCTTGTCCTGTCTCGATTATTTTCAGGTCGAGATAAAACCTGTTTTAATATGATCAGGATAATATCAAATTAATCAGAATGAGTCCAGACTGAACATCCCTAAATATAAGACATAGGGCGCTCTGGAGATTGGAGATGGGATGTTGGGCGACACTAGTAGTAATTATAAAAGATATTTTCACTGTTAGAGCCAGCATTGTGTCGAATAACGAGACACCACGTGGACTGTTACGCGGCTAAAGATTTTTCTTTTTTTTTTGGTTTTTTGTGTAGAATAGAAAATGGACAAGAAATGGCTCCGCGACACTTTCATGGGTTCCTGCTATTTTTTAAAATGTGCTCAAAATGGCGGGACAGTTTTATCCCTCTACTTAACGTTCCTCACTAACGATCTTTGAACCCCCACGCGTTTTATCCCACACTGTGGAAGAATTATAAGGGTATTATAGTAATTTTACTTCACACAGACACGTGCGGGACCTTGACGTAATTACACTTGTTGCGTATTCAGAGTTGATCGGCTGCGGAAGCAATTGTCTTCTCTGCTACGAACTTTCCCTTCCTCAGCTTATAAATCCGCGTTTCGAGCTTCCTTGCTCCGTTCGAATCTCAAACACCTTTGCGCTCTCATTCAAACTGCTCGTCTGATCACCGTCTCCTCAAACTGTAAGTAAACAAAGTTGCCATATATTTCGCATCATATTAGCTTAGTGATCAAATTAGATTTTGGATCTTCTGGCTTTATTAATTTTATTTTCCCCATATATTATTACCCATTTTTTTGTATACCCAATTTTTTTCTTAGCTTTCTGAAGATCAACGGGGTCGTACATAAATTTTTCTTTTCTTTGTTTTTTTTTTTTGGTCAAAGAGATTTCTTTATCTGGGTGTGGTTGTTTAGCTGTGCAAATGACTACTGGTAGCTATCTTGGGATCTCTACCATGAAGCCTTGTTGTAAAATCTTGAGTAGCTGTAAAAGCTCCTCTCTTTTCCGGTTTTCTCCAACCAAGTTTAATGATTCAATCATGGACATCTTGTCCAAATCATATCCCAAACCCGTGCGTCGGCATAGATACCATACCTGTAATAATAATCAAATTGTAAGATGTATTCATACAATCAATCTGAATCGGAGAGATTTTAGCACTTCCGGTTCAAATTGTGGTCACTCTGGAATTTTTTGTAATAGTTGTGTCAATATAGGCAGTTATAGGGGCATTTCATTGCTACCGAATGCAGTTTCGGATTTTAGAAACCATTCTACATCGGTTGATTCTCATGTTAGTGACACAAGCTTTGAGAAGATTTATATTCAAAGTGGATTAAACGTGAAGCCCTTGGTGTTTGAAAGAATTGAAACTGGTCAAAGTAAATTGGAGGAAGTCCCTGAAGATAGAACTAATGAGTCAAATGTAAATATAGATAATTTGAATGGTTTGAATGAGAGTAAGGTTGAGAGGGAGGTGTTTGATATTGAAAAGGAAGCTTGGAAGCTGCTTCGAGGTGCTGTTGTCACATATTGTGGGAATCCAGTTGGGACTGTTGCAGCTAATGATCCTACGGACAAACAACCATTGAATTATGATCAGATCTTTATTCGTGATTTTGTTCCATCAGCACTTGCCTTTTTGCTCAACGGTGAAGGAGAGATTGTCAAGAATTTTCTACTTCACACACTGCAATTGCAGGTAAATTATGGACTTCATGGCTTTTATTACTTTGTCATTCTTTGCTTTATTTGCAGTGACTAAATGTTTTGTCTGTTGAATGTGCAAATTCCTTTTTCACATGCTCGAAAACAAACATTCCTCCTGAGAACTGTTGAGAAGATATACTTCTTTGCTTACTGCTCATAATTTTGTATAGACTCTGGTTTTGAAGACTTCTTTTAGATGATGCGTTAACACTTTTTCCCTCATAACGGATAGTAGCCGATCTTGCCTATATAGAAATTGGGTAGTTTAATGGGTTTCGTAGATCCTGTGTGGGTAGAAGAATGATAGTACCCAATAACTTCACGTCTCTGATTTTTTGTTTCTTTTATCATTCTAATTTGTCCAGAATTATAAATCAGTACCTGAGCCTTCCACGTTTTTCTCTCTGAATGTTCATTTGCATTACATCATTTAATCATATCTTAAAATTTAGAGTTAAGTGTCCACTTAGCCGACATTTGTTACTTCTCTCGCATGAGAATCTTGTCCAGAGGAAAAGGTGAATAGTTAATGGTTCTTGATAGTATTTGGAGCGTTCTCAGGGTAGAACGTTGAATAAGCCTTCATTAGACTCTTATTCATGGTTCTTGATTTTTCTCCTTTTTAACATTTTAATTCAATTAAACCTTTTACATTCACTAGAGTTGGGAGAAGACTGTCGACTGTTACAGTCCAGGACAAGGGCTGATGCCAGCAAGCTTCAAAGTTAGAACTGTGTCTCTTGATGGAAGCAATGAAGCATTTGAGGAGGTTTTGGATCCGGATTTTGGTGAATCAGCTATTGGCCGTGTCGCACCTGTTGATTCTGGTGAGTCGTTTTATTTGTGAAAGAAAAGACATCATGGCTCTGTTAGTGAAATGCCACTGTGCTAGCATTTATAATTATAACAAGATTATGGGTCCCGTGCTTTGTGGAGAGTCTGAAGTAAACACTATTAATGGCCTATGAATAATGTGGTTATGAACTTTGTATTGTATATGGATACATTGGTATATTGATTGTCCATTTGTCCAAGTTCAACAATATTATCCATTCACCTGTCAAGATTTCGTCTGCATATCACTTACTGGAATTACATTGAATTATAGGTTCAAAATTTTAGGCCTATATTTAATACTTTGCTGACAGGATTGTGGTGGATCATTTTGTTGAGAGCTTATGGGAAGCTCACTGGCGATTATGCGTTGCAAGAAAGAGTGGATGTCCAGACAGGCATGAGACTAATTCTTAAGCAGTGTCTGACTGATGGATTTGATATGTTTCCTACTTTACTGGTCACCGATGGTTCCTGCATGATTGATAGACGGATGGGTATTCATGGTCACCCTCTTGAGATCCAAGTAAGCTAATGATGCTATTGTGCCACTCTCAATGCATATTTATAGAAATAGCACCTGGCATTTATTATGTTCGTTAGTAGATTGGTACTAAATGCGGTATTCTTAGAATGTCATTCATTTTTTTTCCTTCAGTGGATTTCGTTGAACGAGTTCTGTTGTAGAAAACTTTATTTTCTGCTATTGCACTTAACACTAAAGTGATGTTATAAAAATGTTTTTAACTCGTCTACATTTGTTAAAATGATCTTCTTTGGGATTTTAATGGCTGTGCATGACATCCTATTTCATAGAACCAGTGGTATTGAATTTGATCTGGTTGATCCTGGAACGTTTGGCTGTCTTCCTGAACCTTCTCACTTGTCTAATTGATGAACTTCTATCTTTGCCATTTGAATTTTCCTATCTGTTTTGGAAGGTGTATGAGTCAAAAAATGATCAAGGAATGTTGAGTAGGCATGTTCCTTGACTTCCTTCAATATTTTGATCAGACTAATGCTTTGGTGACTGGATGTCATGGGATTTTCGTAGTTTTGTGCGGTGGTAGTTTGGAAGAGATTGAGAATTATAACTTAGTCTAGTGAACTCCTATATTACGGGATTCCAATTGCTCAAAATTTGTCATCCTTGATTGGACGACATTCTATTATCCTGTGTTTCCTACTTTCCCTTTCTTGCATATTTGGTCCTGCATTCCAAGTAAATACCATGTGTTTCTAACTTTCTCCTTGTTTGGTCTTGAATTCGATCTTGCAGGCATTATTTTATTCAGCCTTACGCTGCTCACGTGAGATGCTGATTGTCAGTGATGCAACCAAGAGTTTGGTTGCTGCTATTAATAATCGCCTAAGCGCTCTTTCTTTCCACATGAGAGAATATTATTGGGTTGATATAAAGAAGATTAATGAAATATATCGTTACAAGACAGAAGAGTATTCTAACGATGCTGTTAACAAGTTTAACATCTATCCGGAGCAAATTCCTTCTTGGTTAGTAGACTGGATCTCTGAGGAAGGTGGATACTTCATTGGCAATTTGCAACCTGCTCACATGGACTTCAGGTTTTTCACACTTGGAAATCTTTGGACCATCATATCTTCTTTAGGCACAACAAAACAGAATAGGGGCATTTTGAATTTAATAGAGGACAAATGGGACGATCTTGTCGCTCAAATGCCTCTCAAGATATGTTATCCTGCCCTGGAGAGTGATGAATGGAGCATAATCACTGGTAGTGACCCTAAGAACACGTAAGGCTCTCTTATATCATGCTCTCCCCCCTCCCGAGACGCACACACGCACTTGTCATTTTGCCACAATTTGTGTTTAGTGAGTGGTCTCCTTCCCCCTGGTGTTAGTTGCACAATCATATTAACTTTCAGTGACTTCTTGCAGCCCGTGGTCATATCACAATGGGGGATCATGGCCAACACTTCTCTGGCTGGTAAGTTTGATGTTTAATCCTATCTTTGAGATGTATTTTGTGGAAAGTACTCTCAAAGTCTCAGGCATTTCAGTATTTATTTATAGAATGTAAGAGCAATTGGAAGCCTATTACTTTAATTACTTCCTTTGCTGAAGCCTGAAAAATGAAACAGCCTAATTATGCCTCTTGTCTAATAGATTTCTATTCTTTAACCGGTCAATAAATGAACATTTTGGTGGATTGGAACTTTTAGTGTTCCCTTCATTGATGAGACATTATTTAGTCGATCAAACAGCTCGCTGTTGACACTATTTCTTCCAAACATCAGTTCACTTTAGCCTGCATCAAGATGGGACGGCCTGATTTGGCGCAGAAGGCCATTGATGCGGCAGAGAGAAGACTTCCTGTAGATGGATGGCCCGAGTATTATGATACTCGAAATGGAAAGTTTATAGGGAAGCAGTCCCGGCTTAGGCAAACGTGGACAATTGCTGGCTTGCTGACCTCGAAGATGCTTTTAGAGAATCCAGAGAAGGCATCCTTGCTGTTCTGGGAGGAGGATTTTGAAGTCCTTCAGTCTTGTGTCTGCATGCTCAAAAAGAGTGGGAGAAGCAAGTGTTCCCGTTTCGGTTCAAGATCTCGATTTGCTGTCTAATGGGAAGCAGTGCCTGTTTTACCCTGCATGTTCACCTCTCTTCAGTCTGTCTAGCGGCCACCCACGGCCGCCCCTTGGATTAAAAATAGTTGATTTAAGTTAGAGTTCACACCTTAACACTAAATCTCTTCCATTTATTATCAAAGATCATAGAATTGTTCTAAGCCTGTTGTCTTGTTATTTGATGACAACGGCTAGGTTGGTCATGTAACTTATGTTGTATCAATTAGCTATGCAGACAAAATTCCATTCAGATGCTCATCTTTTAAGGAGATCCGACTGATTGTTTATATGTAGTTGAAATGTTAAACGTTATCTTTCGTCACTGCCTTGGTCGTGTCAGGTTTTTTGATCTATGTAGGTTAGCGTATCAAGAGTTGAAAAACACTGCCATTTTAAGACGTTGAGAGAAATGAATTTGGAATGTCATGATATGATGCATAAATAGAATGGATTACTAGAGATTTTCATCCGTGAATTAAACTTCAAACAGCTAACTGTCCACCGGCAGCAGGTTACAAGCCATGGATACTGTCTGTCTCATTCTAACAGCAAGGGGGACTGACCCACATGCTAGGCACAAGGGTAGCAGCTAAAGGAAAAAACCTAAGGAACACTCGATCTAGATAGATATCTATAAGGGAGACACGAGCATTTGTACACGACGCTATAACTGCAATACGAAGGGCCATAGTATCTCAGATGCTGCTCTTCCTGAAAAGGTGAATACGAGCGTCTCCAAGCCTGAGAGAGTAGGCGGCTTTCTTGTACTCGGCCCAAGTGAATGGACGGTAAAGAGAGGGCGTGTCAGGCGTAACTATAACTGGCGGAGCAACGATCCACGCATCCAGGGGCGGAGCCGCAAAATACGCCATCGACATTCTTGACTTGTGCGAGTTTGTCATTGCCCTGTGCCTCACGCTCTTGAATCTTCCATTCGTCATTACCTTCACAATTCACAATCACAATTCACTCATGTGCCACGCCAAATTTTATGATAAAAAAAAAAAAATCCCTTTTCCTCCCCAGTGCTCTGTCCAATCGATGCTCTGAGCTACAGAGTGGATCAAGTGTAATTCAGTGTAAAAGCTGGAGTAACAGTGGCAGATCTCGAGTCAGGGCTTAATACGAGAGATTCTCGACTGCCTGGCGAGGCGGGGATAGATAGAGTGCCCCACTAGCATGGATCCCTTAATTCTGAAGGATGAGAAACAAAATAAAAGCAAAAAGAAGGAACAGGGGCATACCTGCAACGCATCACCTACATTGACACAGAAAGCAGAGGGATCTGGGGTAACGGGGATCCACACGCCATCTTGGAGTGAGATCTGGAGGCCACCGACATCGTTGGATGTGAGGACGGTGAGGATCTGAGGGTCAGAATGCTCTCCAAAGCCAACCTTGCAGGAAGGAGATGGGGATGATGATGACCTGTCCCTGTCCTTGCAGGGCAGCGTAGGTGGGTAGTGATTGAGCCTCAGCACCGAGTCGCTATCAATGTCCCTGATCAGCCTGCTGAACACCGACGAGTCCGGGACCCCCAGTCCCTCTGCCATCACCTCCAACATTTCACATGCTAGCTTCTTCACTGCCTGTGTGTATTCCCTCACCGTAGCCCTGTCATGTTCAGACCCACACTCATCACTGTGCTTCTATATCTCATCCTTATTTCTCTGTCACAACTCTTTTTAAATGATAAAACTACTTCCCATGAATCAAATTCACTCCTCAAGTCATCACACCAATGCTCCTAAGAAAACTGCGCGAGCATTGATAGCTGAAGAACCCACTCTTTTACTCGTCGAGTAGTTAGTCGTGAAGGTGAAGGTATGCGTGACACAGTGGATCTTGAACTGAACCGCTAGGCCGAGCTAAGCTGCCACCCGCTCCTCTCCCTTGTCCTTTATTGGGGAGAATATATAGGTAACAATAAAAATACCTACGGGTTGTTTCCTTTTTAAGGAACTTGAACCTTTTCATTTTTTGAAATATAGGCAGTTTTGGTATGATTGGACGTCATTGATGTGTCATTCTAATGCGCAAAGCCTTGTTCGATGGAGTACGGAGTCTGACGTTCATCTCGGGTTTCTTCTAAAATAATTAAAAGCAGAGGCATAGGGGAGTCAATGACATGACAGGAACGTCATTCAAGAGTGTGTGTCTCTCTCTCTCTGACACATGTCCTCTTTTATCTCCTCCCAGGGCATCCTCCTTCGTTCCATCCCATGCCCTCCCATTTGGGCCAGCGCCACCTCAGTCCTATTAAAGATAACAAATTGCATCTACTACATACTTGAATATGGGCATATGGCCATGGCCTGTGGGAAACCCTCCCTCCCTTGCGTGTTTATATTCACATACATTTTTTAAAAATTAAAGTTATTATCGGATTTCATAAAATTAAAAATTAATTTTACAGGAATAAAATGATACTCTCTGCCCCATGGAAAATTTTACAAGTTAAATTTACAAATATTGTATCACCGCTGTGTATAATTCTATTTTACACATTTTTCATAGTTCATATCCATGCTGACTATTCTTCTAGGCTCTAGAGTCTAGATCATGCTAAAGTGTTATCTAAAGTCTAAACATTAACGTAGCTTTCTTTTCTTTTTTTTTTTAAAGGTTATCCATCCCACAACTTGCATATCAATAGGTTCTATCTCACAACTTGCACGCACAAAGTTATTACAGTTCCCAACCTTTCACATTCGTTCCATGGTTTGCCTTACTTGGTCTTGTCAGGTGATTTTTAATTATTTTTCTTCTTAGGGGGTTAAAGAGTGCGTGGCTTTCAAAAAAGAATGCCCTCTACATATATCTATGTAAATAGTACGCAAAATTATGTCGAGTTTTCTCCAGCACCAGAAACATGATAAGGAAAGTGATTGTGAGTTAAAAGACGGAAGAACAGAAAGCAGACGCACAAGAGATAAACTAAACACACATTATATTATATATCCATGAAGGCCTTGTCACCCCCCAACTGTCACTTTCTTTTCTTATACAATATACACCATCTCTCACCCATTGTTTGCCTACACCATATTCCTGAAAAATAAAATATCCAATATATAAATGGCCAGAACCAGTGGTTCATCCCATTCCCCCCTCTCTTCTTTTTGGGCTAAGAGTTCTCCCTCGACTACAACACAGGAGGAGCTAGGTAAGGCCAGCCATGAAATACGATGCAAAAGGTTAAGAAAATGACAGATATCTAGGGCTAACTAGTACCTGAATTATAAAATTCATACATGAATTGACTGTGTGTGTGTGTGTGTGTTAGTTACTACGAGCTTTTATTAAAACATAATATTAATAGTATCCCATGCAGCCATGCTGTTTAAAGCAGAAGTATTGTTCCCATGGTAGTTTATAATAACTATTCTTGTGATTAGACATCATCTTCGGACAAAAAACAGTTGTTTTTGGAGAAGCAGGATAATAGCAAAGAGAGGACACGCACCTGAAGTCGGAAGGGTCATTGGAGATGTGGAGAGACATTTGAGAAATGGAAGGAGGGCTGGCATTGAGAAGAAGGTACTCCACCTCTCCCGTGTCTCCATTGAGGCCTATGTTCTTGCAGCCATAGCCGAAAGGACTGGCAGGTGTAACTTGCTTCTTTTGAGCTGCTGGTTTCGCGAAGAAGCCAAGTCCTATTTCTTCCATTTTAGCTATAGTTTCTGGAGGGACGCCGTGGTTTATCACCTTGAAGAAACCAAACTCCTCACAGGCTTTCATTATGAGCTGTGACACCACTGACCTTTCAGCTGAAAGGTCCACCATTGGAAGATCAATGCTCAAACTCTTCTCGTCCCGAATAGGGTGTGGAGAAGCCACCACCATATCTATATATTGAATTTTCAAATGCTCAAAATTCAGGTTTATGTTTCCTAAGGGGTTTGAAAACTCGGGAAAGAGAGTAGTACGTGAAGGATGTAAGCAGAGAAGAGGGAAGGTGGGAGTTCTCAGTACAGTACAGAACAGATGGTATAGGGAGTTGTGAACCAATAATGGGATATTTATGCAGCCAGAAAGAGAGAATCCATAGGGAACGATTAAACTGATACTATAATGAAATACTTTCGGGGGGAGAAAATGAGCTACTGAATTTATTTTCCCTTGTTTTATGGGGATTGAGGAATAATGTACTTTAAAATGAAGCACAACTAGCAAAATTTTCGTGTTACAACGTTGACCTTCTCCACTCTTCTCTTCATTGACTCATAGCTTTCCACTTTAATTACTTGTCTGCGATTGTTTTGACATAAATCTTACTTTTGATTACCTTTACAACCATCATTTTGACTTCACCCTCTTCTGCCTGCCTTTCACATGCTGGAATTAAAGGTGTCAAATTAAATACCAAAAGAAATTCGCATATCCGATGAACTTAAACCGAAGAAATACTCTCGTGTTTATGTATCCGTCTAATGATATCTATTTTTAGCTAGACTTGACCCATCTGTTCTAATTCGTATTTGATTTGATCTCTGTACGCACCTTTGAAAATTCAGCCATTTGTGTGAATTTTGCTTTATGCGGACGGCTTCCTAGTTCCCAGAAAATTGACATATGAGGTCCAATCTTTGCTGGTTATGGTCATCCATTCCCAGGACAGCGTTCCAAGTCCACACGTCTCTATTAAACTCAAGTGCCACAACCACGTGACAGCGATTACCGATTCATTTATAGTCTCTTTTGTTTAAATTTTCAATATAGTATTTGTATTTTTGTAAAAGAGGTTGTATCTTATCAATGACGTTTAGCGTTACCGAATATCGCCTTCCCCGGTCTGAAGAAGATTAGTTTCATTTTCTCGGTTTCCTGAATTGAAAGTGATAATGAATTATCTATATTTTAGCCTTCATAAGCCCTGGCCTTTACACTTGATGCATTTGAAGAGTGCAACGAAACAAGGCGATAGTGAAATATGGTAAGGCCCCATTTGGGAGCAATTGGCGTGTGCAAGACTGTCAAAGCTATTAATTAGTTGAAGTGGCCTCTGATGTGAATCAACACTTTCTAAGATTAGCCCGAACAACCACAACGATACGGAAGCTTGACGCTAGCACATGCTCATTCACCATGTACTACTATTTACTAATTCGTATACGCAGTCTGGTGCACAGTTAGGTTTCTTGAAGGCAACAATTATATTGACCACTTTTGGATTTAAAAATACTCTGGCGCTGCCGGATTGCACTATATATAATCTCCATCAACACTATAACTAGCCAGGGACACCTAATTCGATCCTACCAGGCCAGTACTATTAGACAGATGGCCACCTCTCTTTTTATTTTTAATTATTTTTTGACTGTCAATGGAGAAGTAGGTTTGCATTTTGCTGTTTCCGGAGTCCGTGTTTTTTTTTTTTTTAAATGCCGAAAGATGTTGTTTCATCTCCAGTGGGCAGTTCATATGGAGTCGTGAGAAACTTCGTCCTTAGCTTCCTAGCTCTCATGAAAAGAGACTTCCATTGATCTTAAGTGGCTAGTGGGTCCGATGTACAACCAATTGACAGCGTTTCTAAGGGTTTGTGAGGGCAACGTACTATGGTTGCATTGACTTAGTTTTTTTAAAGGATCGATAAGTGTGCAGCTTGGACTTGCATGCATGGTTGTTTATTATATTTAATGTTGTGGGATCGCATACCCAGAAATAATACAACTAATCCCTGCAAATGCGTGACTAATTAAATAAATAACGTCTGTACATATACCAGTTGAAATGGTGCTGTTCGTCAGATTCATTACACACCAATCCCTACAAATCTATCGATCAGTGTCTGTATTGAGATACGTAGTGAGAGTCCTGAATTAAGAGAGCAGGGTAGTGTTGGTTGGAATTGGAACTTGGGAGGTCAACGTACGGCAGGTGGGATGGAGCGATTGATTATTGGTTTGAGTCACAGGCCAGGATCCAGAATCCTCTTGTCCATCACACCAATAATATACACTCTGCGCTCGGTCACTCCCCGGGTACTCTCAGCGCGTACACAGATAATTTCAATAAAAAAAACTTTTTTTATTGAAATTACTAATTTATCATATTAAAATTATTAATTACTGCTAGATATATTTTTTTTGTGGAGTTCTTCAGCATCAATTCCCACAGTCCAGACTAATAAAAATAAAAACAGTTTTAAAATTTTTAATCGCCTCTTTATTAAAATACATTTATCATTTAAAAACATAACATAAAAATTTTAAATTTAGACCTTTTAAATTAAACTTTATTTGAATGTTCCATAAGGATCTCACCGCACCCACCGAATCTCCACACATGGACAATTAGACAGTAATTTTATTGTGTTTGATAAAATTACAAGTTGATGCATGGGTTAATTAATAATCTTTCTACGACCAGTTAAAGAAAGCATTTTTACTAATCACATACACGCGTTCATATCGACCTGTTGAAGAATCCAAGAATGAATTTTAGCACGAATGAGGCATCGAGTATAAATTTTTGGCCAGCTAGCATCAAGTTTAATTTTCTAACCTCATTAATTACATTTTTATTTTATCTTATTTTACTAACCTCGTTAGAAGCTGTGAAGACCACCCTTTCAAAGATATCACTGAACTTACTAGCTAGCTAGACTGATGTTGCGCTAGGACTGACATGATTCTATTAACTTTATGTCTCATAGTTTTAGTCTTGATTTTTTAACTTCCAGTTAACCCCCACCTACATGTTTGAAGGCAGTAGATGATGAAAGCAGGAAACATGTGTCTTCATTTTATTCCTTTTTTTTTTTTTTTAAAGGAAGCCTGCATCTTGCACGTGACTTTTTATCATAACCTTTTGAGGTGTTTTAATTTGATTGATGAAGGTTTCAATATTATTAAGAAAAATAACAATTTTTTTCCTTCATAAATCCCCTTGCGGTGAATGTTCTGTTGGGTAAAAATTGGAAGGGATGAACTCCAGAAAAATACAGAAGGCAAGAAATTAGAACAAGATTAATGATAAAAGGAGGAAGTGTCTCTTTTTGTTCCCATTCTTATTCTGCCTTAATTCCTATTCGCCAGAGGCCCCAGAATTGGCTGGTTTTGGTACCACCACTTTCTGCTGTTCAAGAGACTACGGCGTCATTCATGTTTCTTCATCATTCATGTTTCAGGTCCCATTTTTCATCATTCATGTGATTTTGATTAGTTCATAATTCTGTCTTTCTGAGTTGGTAAAGTCCCATTATTTCCTCCATTTTCATTCATTCTTCTTCCCTTAGCTTCTTAATTTCTTCCTTATATATATTTGTGCGTGCGCGTGATATATCGACTCGCCACGTTCTAAACACAAATAAAAAAAAAAATATATACTAATTTATTGAAAACAGTACCCATTGGATTATGTGGGGATTTAGCCTATTTTTATTATTTTTTATGAAAATTGTTATTGTAGAAATGTCATTCTTTCTTTTACTTCAAGTACAGAGGAGGATGAGCGGAAGAGTGATATGATTCAACTCTCAATTATCTTGAATCGTGTTGCATGGATGATTAATTATAGCACTTTAACAGCAGTTGTATTTTTTATGCACTGCTGTGTCGTTGATTTTCATCTGAAAAGAAGTGAAATGGAAGGCGATGCTGCAAATATATCAAACAATGACGCTGAGAGAGATGGCGCATATATTTCATCATAAAGCAACGCTCGTGTGTTTGCCCTTTTGAATTTTGCACAGTGGAATGAAACTTGCACATGTAAATAAATATCCCAACATGCATGTACCTGAGACACTAATATTGATGATACAACAACAACAACAAACCTTTATCCCATTAAGTGGGGTCAGTTACATGAATTGCAAGACGTCATTGTGCTCTATCATTTATCAAGTTTTTATAAATATTATTAATTAACAGATCGCGTTCAATAACTTTTAAAAGTATTCTCTTAGGCCTTTCTCTACCTCTCTTAATCGGACTCAAAGTTATATGTTCCACTCTTCTCACTGGTGCCTCCCTTGGTCTTCTCTGTACATGTCCAAACTATCTCAATCGATTTTCTACCATTTTTTCCTCAATAGGTGCCACCCTCACTTTTTCGCATACGTGCTCATTTCGAATTTTATCTTTACGTGTATGTCCGCACATTCATCGTAACATTCTTATCTCTACTACTCCAACTTTATGCTCTTACTGTCCCGTTAGAGCCTAGCATTCACTACTATATAACATTACCGGTCTGATAGCAGTGCGATAAAACTTTCCTTTAAGTTTATTAGGCACCTTACGGTCCCAAATAACTCCTTTAACTTTTCTCCAATTAAACCATCCAGCTTGAATTTTATGTGAAATATCTCCACTGATTTCGTCATTATTTTGAATAATGGCGCCCAAATATATAAACTTTTTCACTTGAGGTATAATTTAATCTCCCAATTTCACTTCCAAATTATTGTCGAATAATCCTTTACCAAATTTACAATATAAATATTCCGTCTTACTTCTACTTAGACGAAAACCTTTCGACTCCAATGTCCTCCTTCATAACTCAAGTTTGCAATTAACCTCTTCTCTTGTATCTGCTATGAGAACTATATCATCCTCGAAAAGCATACATTTTGGAATTTCCCTTTGAATATGTTCCGTCAAAACTTTTAAGATCAAGTTAAATAAATAAAGACTCAGAGATGATCTCTAATATAGTTCAATCTTTATAGGAAAATCTTTATAAGAACTAATATTGATGATAAGAAAATAAAAAAAAACGTAAAAAGAAAATAGAGAAACAAATACCATATATATATATATATATATATATCTTGACTTCTCGCCGCTTCTCTTTTAATGTCAGCCACGAGCTGGAAAGGACCCATAAATAATTCGACGCAAAGTTGAAATAATGCCTTTCTTTTCACCCATGTCCTAATCAAACAAAGTGTTTTCAAATTAAAATATCAACGAGGTTTTTGACTGTAGTGTCAAGTCTGAGGAGTTTTAGGTAAAAAGAAAAACATTACTTTGTGTGTGTTGATCTCTCCCTCTCTTCAAACGGTGATGGGTAATGGAGGATCGTATAATTTTCACTTGATCGATCTGAGGGCGAGAACCGAAGAACGGATAAGAGAAGGGGTGTCCAAATCGTTGGGGGG